TTGTCCTGTTTCTGCAGACCCCAATGAGCTTTAGTCCACTGCAAATGAATTCCAAATAAAGGCAGTTTGAATTGCTAGTTTTCTTTAACTTGCCCTTTGGTTAGAGTTATTATTTGGGTAATCATAGGAACTAGGTGGTGGAAAAAAGTATTTTTCCATTTTCAAGTCTTCCTTTTGGCTGTACTTACTGCTTACCATGTCAACCTAAAGAGTTTATAGAAATCTGGCAAACTTAGAGAATACTCTGTTTTGAGGGACTGCTATGTCTTTTGTCTGCAGCCTACCAGTTGCTGCAAAAAATCCTTTTCTTCTGCACAAGGCCTTCAGACAGGGGGTCAGTCCAGCCTTCCTCTCTGATTCAGAGGAAATGGCAATCATAAGCCCTACAGAACAGTCATTTCATTTAGTCCAAGAACAACGTTTTCTGAGCAAGAAGGTGTCATTCAGTGTCCCTCTCATGCTTTTCCTAAGAGACAGATGCTGCAAGGCTGCCTTGAATGTAGGTGATGACTTTAGTGGCTTCCCTCTCCCATTTTCACTTAGGTTGCATAGTTCTCTTGTTTTCACTTCAGCTGGGTTTTTTTCTTCTGTTAAGACTTTGCATGTTTTACACACATTCTTGAGAGCAGCTGTTACATTTACAATTGTTATTCACTCTTTCCAGACATTGTGTTATGATCAGGAGTGTGAAAACAAGTGGGGTTTTTCTGGATCCTGTTGACTTCAGACTGCCATGATGGGTAACAGAAAAGATCAGAGAATCACTTCTCCATATCTCTAAATAAAGCACCTTGGTGCTAGATCCCCCTCCTCTTGCCTTATTGGTGTTTACGTTGTCCAGTTTTAATACCTTTCCTCATGATTTATCAATTATAGAGAATGACCTAGTTAAGATGTAGATTACTAAACGATCCTCAGATGTAACCCTGCTAATCTCAAGGACCTATGGAATATTGTTCTGTTTTGCACTGTATCTCAGTTCCTATAAAACTGGTTTGGATCTTAGTCCAGATTGAACCAACAATGAATAATAAAGAATCCAATATTTGCCCGGTTTTGACCAATACCCTTAAAATCATGTCATGTTGTTTCGTTCATGAGATAAACTGAAGTCAGAAAAATTGGCTTTATAAAATAATTGGCTGTTTAAAAAAAACACAAACAAACATTTTTATTAGAAGCTTGTATTTTAAATGGCTATATTTACTTGTTTCATAGAAGCTGAAAATCAGGCTTTCAGAAATATTCTCAAACCATGAGATGTGGTCAGAGTTTCAGGCATTTAATAGTTTTCAAAGCCAAATAAATGCTGTCTAGTGTGACTCTTCAAGAAAGTGACCTGTCGCCACCTGATAAGAGATTCTAGTTTAGTTCAAAAGCTTTAGAAATAGAACCTGCTTTGGTTAGCTCTTTCTCTGCTAAACCATTGCAGGCACTTCAGCTGGTAACTAAGTCAATGTTTCTGATCTGATGCTGAAGGACTGGCAGCTCAAGCTTGTGCTTTTTAATTGGATATTGTAATATCCAGAAGCAGTTTATATCCCATAGTGCAGTGGACTAATGTTAAAGCAAGAGTTCCTCTGGATTAAACCATAGCACATTGGTTATGATTTTAGATATTTCTTGTCTGTGGATCCATTGAGCACACACATGACAGATTGTTCCAAAATTAGGAGCTTACACTGGAATAATACAATGTAATTTCTCCCAGACCACCTTATATAATGTCCTTTTCTTTAGATGTCCTTGTCTTTAGATCCCTTTCTCTGCTTGAATTTTCTGGTACGAATTCAGTAGGGACATAGATGGGCTTCAAACATCACTTTAAATTAACAGTAAGGTCTAGTTGTTTCAGATTATGAGCTTTGTCATAATTCAGAAGTAATCTAAATGTCAGTAACATGACACTGCTTTAGTTGTGCCTTCCAGTTCTTTTTTGTGCTACTTTGTCAAAACACAAAAAAAAAAAAAGTTTGAAACAAAGAAGAAAAAAGGCTAAAATGGTGAGCTTGTCTCAGAGAAGAAAAACTCAGCAAAAATGGTCTGTAGAATCAATATCACCATGAAGACCTGATCCAATTTCTAACGTCTGTTCTTTTCCTTCCGTAGCTTCTCCACTGTGATAGAATGGAAATAAGTAATTTACTTGTGCTCTTGGCTTGAGGCCTAAAAGTTGTATTTGTATTTCAAATATATGTTGAGGTTTGGTAGTGCTGAGGTGAGGGATGAGTCGGCATCATCCCTCTCAGAAACCCAGGGGGTCATGCATTGGGTTTGTGCTGTGTGTAGCCCTCAGCTCCTGTCTTTGATGTAGCCTCTTTCCTACATTCTGCTGTTCATGTTTGCTTTCTTTTACCAATGTTTTCTCATGACCTTGAGTTTAAGGAATTTCATCAGTACATCTCTCCAATTATCCAAAGTGTAAGAGGTACTGTCACATGTCCTCTTGCTCACTTGGATCTTCATTCTGTTAAGAGTTCATCATATATGAAAGTCAGAGTTGCTAGGAAGGTTGCAGGGTATTTACCCTTTTTGGTTTGTTTTACTAAATCTGTGTGAAAGTAAGAAAAGCTGGCTTGATTCCTTCTATTTATATGTAGAAATAACTCTTGTTCATTGAATGACCCTTACCCTATAGATCCAGTCATCTGTGCCATGGGGAAAAAAAATTGTTGTGTCTATTCATTTTCACTGGATGTCATCCAGAAAGCAGAAATATTACTGCTTATGTTCATCTTGTGTTGACACACTGCAATAAAGGAGTCTTCATATGCCAGAGTTAATCTGCTAACAGAAGATTTACTGCTCTTTGCAGTGCCATGCCAAACATAATCTTCAGCGCTTTTTCCTGAGTTTTAACCTTAACTCTTTACTCCTGGCCAATCCTCCTGTTCTTAAACTGTGCACAAGTTAAAAATTTTAAATGAGCTGATACATTTTGCCTTCCCTGAAACATAAAATTATTATCTGATATATTGTTCTACGAGGACACACACATGTTCACGTACAAATGGAAATGCCAGCATTGTCACTTGCAGAATTCTTCAAGCAGATGTTTCAGCCTGTAAGTCTATAAAATAGCACTTTCCAGAGAAGTAGATGAAAATCAAAACTATATTGCTTAAACAGTTAGGTTGAGGTCCTGCAAGGTGAGCAAGAACTGCCTGAAAATCAGGAGCTGCAGACTCAGCTCCATTTTCAGAAATCCTTTCCAGAAAGCATCAATCCCTTTGTTAGCTGTACTTCCTGGCAGTTACATGCAAATCCATTTCTATACTGGTAGCTCTCTCTACATGATGTCATTACATAGCAAACAGACACAAAAATTTAAAATCTAGCTGGAGGACCATGTGTGAATGTATATGGGCTCAGAGATCTGTCCCATGCTGTTAATGCATGTGTGCCCCAAATCTGTGTTTCAGTTTGTTCTTAAGTGCCAGGAGCTTATTTCACAGCTGGTGGAGAGGCCTGTGCCAGTGCAAAAGGAAAAAAAAAACCCAGTTAATTTTTTTTTTTTTTAAGCAGTAAAGTCCCTAAAAAAGGCCAGTCTAAGTTCACCTTGAGGGCAAAGCACAGTCTACTTTAAAATAAAAATCTTTTAGTACTAGTCAATAGAAAAATAAAGCCTGTTCTGTTCTGTGTAAATAATTTTTGATCAATGTACTGTTCTAAGGCAATTCCCAATTAGCATATCCTGTAGCTGATTGTCAGAACCTGTCCACAGGGTACAATTGTGACACAGGCTGTGAATATTCAGCAATAGCAGTCTGTAAATCTAAGTAATGACAAAGCCTCTTTAGGGAAAGAGGTGAGCTGAGTAGAATAATGGCAATCTTGGGGAGCAGTGGGGTATTTTAATTTAATTAAATCCAGAGCAACTGAAAAAGATACTATTAAAAGGACTTATTCTCTGAAGTAAATACCTTTCAGAAAAATGTACAGTTCAAACTGGCGTGTTAAATTGGCATCCTTACATCCACTCCATTCTGTGGATCAAAGAGAAGTTAATCATTTCCCTTGCCTTTTATCTCCTTTATGGATGTGTTTGTGAGTATGTGTGCATATGCATGTGTCCGGTGTGTGCATGTGCATACATGAGTAACACAAAACAACGGCAGCGAGGGAGGGGTGCTTGCTTTTTCTGTAATGAAGTTGGAGATTTTACTTTTTTTAAATCTAGTGGTACCTAATAGTCACTGCCCACTATTAGTAATAGTAGTAGTAGTAAAAGCTCAGAAGTATTGCAACTTTCTCTTGCCTCTGTTTGCCCAGCCACCCTTCTACATACTACAAGCACTGGGAAATTTCAATGACACAGCTTGGAATGGGTTCAGTGACCTCAATTATGCCCTCCCACCCACTCCAAACTCCTTTCAATTTGCAAAAAGCTTTAAGTGGACAAAACCCAGATGCCTTTTACTTGTAGTTCAGTAAGAACAGATTGGGCATGTAGATTCTTGTCAAAGTGATATATGTAGTTCATTTTCCATTAACTCTTTCTTAACTAAGGATTTTAATTCTCAGTTCCAAGTCTAGCACTCTGCTTTGCTTTCTATTGTTTTTAAAGTTCATTATGCCTACAACATAGTTTAAAAGTGAACTTTAATATACCTCAGCTAGACATTGACTGATACAAAACAGAATGTTTGATTCTGCTTTTAAAGGCAATCACTTTTTTTTTTTTTTTAACTTGTTTCATATGTAATAATCCATCCTATTGTCTAAAAGAGTTGAAACACACTAACTAAATGCACTAAGTAAAATCTCCAGTTTGGAAGGAAAAAGAAATAATGACTTGTGGAAATGATTTACCAGTCAAAACCAGTACATGGACCCTGATGACCTTGAACTTACTTCAGTTAGCTTACTTAAAACTTACATTGCTTTTAATATGATGTAATAGTGCTCCAAAGAGGCAATGCCCTTCCCCTCCCCCAGAGCATTTCATTACACTCCCTTTCTCCCTCTCTCTCCCTCTCTGTCTCTCTTTCATTCTGCAGAAACATGTGCTGTCAATAACGGAGGCTGTGATCGGACTTGCAAGGATACCGCGACAGGGGTACGCTGCAGTTGCCCAGTTGGATTTACCCTGCAGCCTGATGGGAAAACGTGCAAAGGTCAGCCTCTGTTTGCTTTGCAATGCATCATTTGCCTTCAGCGGGTCCAGTACAAGATATAAATATACAGTTATTTAATCAATATTTTTTAAGTTGAGGCTATACTGGTATAGTGATTGCAATTAAGTTCATTAGCTTTCTCCTTCCCCAATCTTTATGTATTTACCTGGTTCAGTTGGTTTTCTTTTTTATTTATTAGAGGGTTTTATTACGGCAAAGAAATGAGATGCAGAGGTCAAACTGTTTCAAGATGACCAGAGATTTAGAGGAACAACTCAGGGCATCAAAAAGCCTTTCATTTCAAAGGACATTCTGATACCTTTGTAAAACCTCAGTCTAATGGTGTCTGCATTTGTCTATTCAGAAAGCGAGTTACAACTGTCAAGCAATACTTTGTTACCTGAGAATAATCCACTGCTTATTGCTGAGTGAAGCCATGTATTGCTCAGAAAAAAAATCCCAGATACTTGGTCATTTCTGCACCTTCAAAAGATAAATAGACAGCTCCAAAGGAAAACCAAAATAACATTGACAAATGCAGGAGTTTAAACCACACAGCTGATGCTCAGGTTTTACTACTCCAAAGGCAGCACGAGAGCCTTGCCATTCTGTCTTTCGTGTGTGTGTTAAAGCTGAGGTCAGGGGGAAAGAGAGCAGAAAAGAGCATCTGATAGCACTGTCAGCATGTGCTCACAGTTAAGGAGGCAGGGACAGCTCTCAAATATCCCTACACAGTCACACTTCAATGGCACATGAGGAGATTTGGATACATGTTGGTAGGATCAGGCCATCTGTCAACCATTTTCCCATTTTCCCACTTTCCTGTGTATTCCTTTTGAGCTTCTTTGCAAAAGACTTGGAGATGGAGATCCAGGAGGACATGGCATATATTCTTGTCACAGGGAATATTTTTCATCACTCAGTGACTTAAGTTGACCTAACTTGCTGGGAAATTCTTGTGACATTTTTTCCTTCAAATTAACCAGAAATGTCAGAATATCCTCAGCCCAGGGCTTGATGTTACTTAAAATAGTAAAACCCACAAAAATAAACAGAAAATGTGTGGTTTCCTCTTGCTCCAGGCTGAAAAATCCCGGTGCTTGGGCATGATCCTGTTAGTATTTATAGAAATAATAGTCCATTTGCCTGTTCATTTGAAAATAAAACATTTAAGCTGCCACCACACACAATGTCAATAGTTAAGGGTGAACACATCAAAACTCAGTCATCGTAGTTCAAGCCACATAAAAATAAACCTTCATTTTTGTCAGCAGACTAGCTAAGCCATAGCAGAACAGTAACAGTGATTCCACCAAGTGCTTAAAAATGAGGCATTTTAATAATGTAACATGCACCTAGGCTTGATCATAATGTTTATTACTGAAATTGTGTCATGAATAAAAAGAGTAATTCCAATTTAGACATTTGGCCAGAGAACTAACATGAAACTATATTTATATAATAATCAAGTCTATAATGATTCCTACAGAAAAATGAAGTATTCTACTGATCCTCAAACCAAATAACTTAGCTCTAAGCTCTTTCACATTTTGCTTTTCCCCTTTTTTATGAGTAGAAAATATAAAAAACAGGATCTGTATTTTTATGATGCTGCTGATTCTTTCTTACTTTCTTAAAATAAGCAGCCACTGGAAATTAACACAGATGGTTTAATAAAGCAACAAGCCATTTCTTTTTAACCTTTATGGACATTTTAGGAAATACTCTTTATCCTGAAATGGTAAAATATACATTTGGAATTTGATTTAATTAATAAAATTTATCTTATGTATTGCACTTTGAGATGTCTGGGCTAGATCCTGCTCTCCTGAAGCTGAACTGATTTTGCATTTTAACCTGTGCACAAATGATCCTGCACTTAAACTGACCAGTGAGCTTTCTTGCACAGCTTTTGTAGGCAGCCCTCAGTCAAAGGCGGTACTCTGTAGGATTTGCAACTCCTGAGGGCAAAAGTGAACATTTTGGTGGAGTGACATTAATGTCCTCTTGGCTCCCCTTGCTGATAGGTAAAGCCTGGAAAAGACCAGGCAGGAAAAAGTCAGTGTGCGCATATTCCTTCTTCTGCATTCTCTAGAAAAGAAAAGAGAGTGATCAGCACAAGTTTTCTCCTTGGATTTCTTTTTCCTCTTTACTCTCCTTGATTTGACTGGCCCCCAGTTTCTCATATACCTAGTCCCCTGTTTCCTCCAGCTGTAATTTTACATCTGTGTGGTAAGAGCAAGGGATTATCTCTTGGATGCCCTTTAAAGCATCTTCAGGGACCGTGGAGCTGTCACATCTTGTCTTTCTTGGGTACAGTTTTCAAGTCCATGGAGCGTCACAGCATGTCCAAGTGAGGTTTCTCATAGGACATAATTTTACGTGAGTTTATGTTTCTAAATATAGAAGAAAGATATGCCATTTTCTGTTAAGGGAAAGTAGAGATGTAGGGCATGTAAGAAAAGCTGAGGACCTGGAAGGAGAATTAATATATTAACTGAAAAGTGCAATTGTGGGTTGAGCAAAATGATTAATATGCTTAGGTTTAATATAGTAAAAAATGCTCACCAAAAATAATGTTTTTATTGGAAAGTCTGTGATTTTTTTTTAGTCCATTTTGGCATCTTCCTCTCTAAGCCATTTTACATAGTGCAGCAACTACATGAAATTATGTAGAAGCTTAGATTCAAGTGACTTAAATAAGACTCAAAGAAACATCTGAACTTTTGGATATTGCAAAGTGGATGTAGGATAATTTATTAATGTGTAATTCTAGCTCACTTGTAGGTGATTTCCTTTTGCTATACTGGTAGTTTATGGAAATTTGCTGACACATTTCTTCCTTATTTTTTTACAAGTGAATGGATTGATTTATTTTTCTTTTAATTCACAAAATAGAAATACTATTTTTCTAAATAACAAAAATTTCTAGATGGTTCTGTTCAACAGTCAAGACTCTAGTCAGTTTTAGGCATTGTGTAGACATGTAATGGGAAAAAAAGTTTACTGTCCTGGATGTCCACAGGTTTTTGTTTAGTAGTTGGAAATAGCATTAATTGTTTAGTATACACAAAAGGCAAGTATACATAAAAAAAGAAAAGACAAGTTCTTAAAAAAGAGTTTATGCAAACATGCTTGTTTGCCAAAAGGTGGCAAAGAAACCCTTTTAAATGTAAATAATTGTTCTATGCTTTGTTTGCAATATCACAGTTCCCATTCTGAAGATCTGTCATAGAAGCTGGCAGAATTTAAATCACAGAGCACAGAACTGAGTCCTGACTAAAAATCTGATATTTCTCCTGGCCCTTCCCAATGTATCAGAGAATGGAAGGTGTAGGAGAGCAACTTCTAAGTAATACAAATAATCTGCCTTCAGTGGTTTTGCAAGAGGCTGATCTCTTCTGTAGTGAGAAATGAGAGTTCATTGTTCCTCAAATAATCAAGCTCCTTTTTTAATGCAGGGTACAGTCTGGTTTACATCAAATGTTAGTAAATTTGGAGGGAAAATTGTTGTGGAGGTAATTTTAACATGGAATACGTACAGGTATCTGCAGAGCACATAAGAAGACTACTGTCCACTGTCATGGAAGAGTGCTTTGCTTTCTGAAAACTGGAAAAACCCTTTCAATCTCTGATTTAAAATCTCTGATTTCTCCATTACATACATTATTTACCTGGACTTGCAGTGAAATAAGAGCAAAAGTGTTGTTTGTGGTCTAGTTAGAATGATCTTCAGAGGTATTAATGGTGCTTGGATAAAAGTTCATTAACCTTTTGCTGTCTTTTAAAAGTCAGTGTTGAACTCAAATCCTCCCTCAGTTGGCTTGGCACACAACGGAGAATGCTCCTTTATTCCCTTCAGCTTTCCTGTCAGCTTGGCTCTTAATAAGCCAAACCATGGAGGCTTTTGACAGCTAAGAGAAGAGACATTCCAGGCAGAAGGGGTTCCATGTTCTCCCTCTAATTAATGCTATTTAATTTCTACTGACATTGTAACTGGGTGATGCCAGCTTGATGCTCAGTTCATTTGATGCTGTCGATTATTGTGCTACACATGGAGAAACAATGTTGGTCACTGCCTTGAATACCTACCAAGTTATCCCACAGAATTCAGCCAATTCAGACAGAAAGGCAGACTGAAGATTGAAAGATGTAGATGCCCAGGATGCTTATTGTTCATTACCTCCTACCGACTTTTAAATATCTTCTGTATTGAGCATATCGGGGTTCTGTGGTCCTCATCTCCCTTGTTTGTTGGTTTCTGTGCCTCCTTCCTGCTGAGTGACCTTTCCATGGAACCAGCTCCATTCTGCCCTCAATGAGAAGATTCATCAGTTCAGCATTTTAATTATACTAAAATACAGCTTGGGTAACTGATAATGAAGTAGGCTCATTTGCAAAAGACTTGTGGGGTTCAAGAGGAGTGAAGTCAGACTAGATTAGACTTAGCACAGATTTCTGAAGATGGTTTAAATCCATCTGCCAAACTAGATCAAACAACAAAGAGCTCTGAAGGCAGCTACAGCAGACAAGCTGGGCTACGGAGAATTCTTCTCCCAGGACTTAAAGTAGAGAAGGACTGAGAATAATGGCAAGAGATTATGTCTGAGAGAGACAGGGACTTTCCTTTGTGGCTTCTCTAAGAAGAAAATCAGAGCAGGAAGAAGGGCCACACGCTTCTAGCATGGTGTAAAATGTATGATCATGTGTATGATATAAATGCTCCATTTCTGCTCTGGGACTTAACAAAGAAACTGTGCCCCCAGGCACTCTTGTGCCCAAATAAAGCAACTTCCCAGCACTCTGCACCTAGAGGTACAGAGAGGAACTGTGCAGGCTGCAGCCCTTGCTGAGCTCCTAGAGTCAAGTAGCACAGCAAATGGAAGTTTTAAGCAGGAGAAACTGCATTTCAAAGAGTCATTGAGCAAAAGCAACATCTCAACTATGACTTTCCCACAAACATCCATAAAATGCTACCTCACTTTGCATGTTCCATAGAT